GGAACAGGGTGGCAGCAATAAACAATGACAGGGATGGGTCTTGGCAAACTACCATCAGTACCTTATACGGTCATGCTTCCTAGGTTTAGCTGCCTATTCAAAAACATACTTTATACAGATGACTAAGGTTTCATGCTTTGGAAGTGGCAACAGCATAGATCATGTTAACCAAGCTCTGACCAATTCATTTCTAGCACTTCCTTGACAACTGTTTATTGAGGAAAGAGTTGTCATACATTCCTGCAAGCTGGCGCTAAGCTCAGCTTTCAGGTGGGATCTCTCAGACTTACCTTCCAGGAAAGAGAGGCAAAGCTGGCTCCTGGATTTAAGCCCGCCCCTTCCATATGCTCCATAAACTTCCACAAACTCCCCTTCCATAAATTCCTCCTCCCATCCTTGCCTGAAAAGCCAAAAGCATCCAGAGAAGCTGTTTGAAAGCCCACGTTTTCAAAGGAGGATACATCATTCATTCAGGGAATTTATGTGCTACCCTTTCTTACAAAAGATGTGGAGAACAGTTTACTTAACCGCTTCAATAAAAATATCAAAAACAAAGCAAAGCATTCTCCCTTAAAAGGCCTTGAGAACAAAAAGCGGATTGCTTGATATGCTTGAGGAGCATGGCTCAGTCCTGAGACTGTACACATCCTAATACACATCCATCAAGGGCTCTTTAGATGAGGCCCCAAAGTGTGTACTGGGGCATTTCCACCCAAGGCTTTGGCACTGCTCCTGCAGCAGTGCCACCCTTCTTTGTTCTTGTGTTGGTGTCATCCCTGGGCAGCTGAGCTGATTTTCTTCCAGTTAGATCACCTCCAATCTCGATGGCAAAAGTTCTGTTTTGTGACTGGAGAAGTTTTGGCTCTGCATAGCTCAAGGGCAAGGAACTCCCATTAATGGCTGCCTTCTGACTTCTGGGCTCTCTCCTTTCCCAACAACACCAGGTCTCCATAGCACCATGCCCCTGTTTACCAGAGGACAGTCAAGGGATTCCTTTGCCATTCACCTGCACAGTGGCTAATCAAGCCTTTTGAAAACCACTCCCAAAGCAACCATGAGCTGACACAAATATAGAGGTGAGCAGGGAGGTGACACGGGTGGCATCGCTGGTCAGGGGAGGGAGGCCTATCTTGTCACAGCTGCATGAGAACAATGGTGGCCCATTCTGTGACTGCTTCTGAGCAGAATGAGGGATGAAAACACTGGCAGTATAGAATGCCCCACCTTCAGGGCCAGTGAGCACTCCTATAATAGTCTCTTCCAATTAGAAGAGCTTTTTAATGACAAGTACGCAGGAGGCATTTCAGTGATTTCTTCAGGGAATAGCACAGAGAGCCTGAAGACAATTTCTGATTCTTTTATTTGGGCCAATCTGCACAGAATAGAGAATAATCAGCACAAAAAGGCCCATGCAAATATAAAGAGCAAAAACAGATCTTTGAACTCAGGCTAGGCTGGCCTAAGTGATACGTTTTGAAGTCGCAAGCATTTTTGAGCAATCTAGCACTAATGATGACAGGTTGGGTGATCCTAAAAACTTTCATTGGGTCACTAGTGGGGAAATGGTCTGTGACTGTTGATTTCTTTGAATGTGCCTGGATTCATCAGCAATGGGGAACAGATGACATGGGCCAGAGGCAAATGGCAGAGTCAATGGATTCGGGGCTGATGGGGGTAAGAATCCTAGTGAGGTAGAAGAGATTTATAGAGACCCCATGGAAGCTTCCCTCCTTTATTACACAGCAGGAACAGAAGGGGAAAGAGAAAGGGGTAAGGAGGGCAAACTACAAAACAAAGGCCTGACAGCTTATAAGCATAAGCCAATGCTATGCAGACTGTTGCTAAAGAAAGTTGGGAGAGAGAGCAAGTGCCAAGAGAGAATAGGCATCACCTAAAGTAAAAGGCCAGTGTACACAGGCTTGTTTAATTGTTGGCTGAAAGTGGGTTTACTCCAATTTGGCAGACAGGTAGGATTCCAAAGATTATCTCAAGAGGAGCTGCCATCCATAGGACCTTGGACTGGGCCACAAATAAATAAAGTATTAATTAAGGTAACTAGAGAATCTCTGAACCCCTTTTTCCAGCCTTCTCTGTCTGCTGCTGACTTAGAATTCTCCCTGTGGTTTCCTCATTTTTGCTGTCCAAGCAAGGGTTGCCTGTGGAAGAAGGAACCACAGCGATAGGCATCAGAGGAACTCAGAAAGCACCAACACAATCATTTTCTTCATAAGAATGCAGCTTGCTTGTTCTACCTGATGCAGAAGCCAGGGAACAAACTTGATAGGCTTTTCCTGGCAAAGGAAAAAGGATGGATTGGGTCCCTAGATAGTCTCCCAACTATCAAGAAAACATGTTGCGCTCAAAGAGACTTAATTCTAGCATACTTGACAACAACACCTAGCAACCTCCTAGGACATTCATCATGTGAGAGGTGAATTCTGTAAGCCAGTTTTCACACTCTCTCCCAACAACTCTGTCAGCACTACCTAGTTTAGTCTATTAGGCAGGTGTGAAAGGCAAGTTGCCCAATTGTGCTCAAGCCAGAAAGGGATTTGGGCTACATTTCCTCTGTGGAAAATCACTAATTGGCAATTAGATCCTACAACACTAAACAGATTTGTTGAGGCCACAATTTGTAAACTTGATGGGTCTGCCTGCCTAAAAATGGCATGAGAGTCAACTGATTTGGCAATCTTTCCCAGTAACAGAGACCGGTTGTAACCATGGGACAAGACAAGTTAGGATTTGTTTGGACAAGGTGTTACACAGCCTGCCATTCTCTCTATTTTATAATTAGAAACCACAGCGGGTTTTTCTCCTAACTGTTCTTAGTGGCTCTGTCACAGAGATAACACTTCCAAAAAGAAAAGGGCTGGAAAGTAAAATTACAGGGCTCTTATACTTGAAAGCGCAGGAAGAAGGCATCATAGAACAGACTCCTGGAATGAAAGCTTCAATGTTTTGCCATCTCAGAAAAGTTTCTGCAGGTGCTACAGCTGTCCTGTGTTTGACTCGCTGGCTTGACATCAGTGAATTTGCAGTCATTTTTCTCCTGCATCTGCTTGCTTGCTTATACTGTGAGCAAACTACCTTAAAATCAGCAGAGTATTTATGAACCTCCTCAGAAGACATTTTGAGAAGGGGGAAGTAATGTTTACTTTAGTGTTCTCTCAGCTAACGAGCTAAGCTGGGAGACTTTGCCAGGTTGATATTTTAAATGAAACACTGGAAGAAGTGATAATGGGAGTCGTAGTCCAACACCTTCATCAGGTGGAATTTGGCTGGACTCATATCTAAGTGTAAATAAATACCAGTAGTACTAGTTTCTGTAAGCCAGGGTGGGGAAATGTCCAGACCAGAGCCATAAAGACCTCCACAAATGATCTATATAGGTTATGGGCAATGTTCCTCATAAGTAAACTCCCAGTCTACACACAGTGTCCCTAACCAAAATAATCTGCTATGGACTCCAAACAGCTTCAGCGTTACAGCCAATTTGGCCCTGAAAATGAAACCAACTATACAGATTCTTTGGCTTAGTTAGTTCCATTCCTAGATTCTGTGTTTGGATTATACCCATAACCTGGGTCCCTCCAGATGGCTATGCAGGTTGAGGATGATGGGAGTTGTAGTCCAATATACTTGGAGGGTGTCAGGTCAGGGAAGCCTATGCTAGAGAGAGAGAGAAAAAAAAAGAGAGAGAAACTTGGAGATGATGTTAGATTCTGATCTATCTATACTGTTAATAATTTCATTTGCAGCACTTTGCACATAGCCATTGCTCATTTCCACTCCTAGTTAGTTAGTTAGTTAATCTCAGCCCTACATACAGGGAGAAAGTTGCCGGCTGGAGCTACTTCACTTTTTAAAAAAAAAATATTTTTAAAAACTGTTCTTATCCCCAAAAGACTCTCAAAGTAGCTTGCAAATATTCCTGATGTGACAATCCCTGCTCTTAAGGCCGAAGTCTAAAAAAACATAGTATACAAAGAAAAGCAATGGGTGAAAATAGAAGAAAATGTGAGTGATTTAACTTTTCACACAGAGGCTGGATTCACACAACATGCAAGACAGGCTAAAATGGGCTTTGTGGTACATCATGATGTGGGAAGCCAGTCATTATTTCAGCATGTTGGATGAACCATCATGCCAAGCCATAATATGGTTGACTGGTTTAGACAAAATATGCTTTGTGAACACAGCGACTGCATTTTGGTAGTGTGTTGTGTGAATCTGGCCATAGCATTATTCTGGGAGAAATTAAAAAGTTTCCTTGCGCTGACTGGAAATCTTGGCAGGAGATGCCAACAGAGGGAAAGAGTCTATCAATCGGCATTTCACTCATTGCCTTCTCAGACCTGGAACTGGCCTTGTAGTGTGCGACAAACCGAGAGGGTGTTTGTGTAGATTTCTGTAGAGAATGGGTCTATATTCATGAAGGATTTATTATATAATCACCTATTCTTGTCAGAGCTTACATAATAATTTGATAAGCACGTATAGTGCTTCGAGGGGTTGTGAGAAGTTGCAGAATGTTGTGAAATGCAGCTGTTTAGAAACAGAACCCACTGCTGCTGCCCCTTAAAGCATGACAGCAGGAAACCTAATGCTTTTCCAGTCTTCAGGACTGTGTGTAATTTCTGCTACTGCAAACAGCTTAACTTAACACAGAGTTCTTGTGATTTAAAGAAACCTGAGGCAGAGGCTGGATTGTTTCAGCTCCACACTGTACCCCTCCCTTCGCTGTCCACACCTCAGTGATACACTGCCAAAGGAAGAAGAAGAAGGAGAAAAAGAAGCAAGAGAGAGAGAAAGAGAAAGAGAAAGAAGAAAAGCTTTTACTAGGTCCCTTTTTCAAAGAATGACAACAATCGTATTTGCCGGCTAATCAGGCTTTTCAGAATTGACCAAGAGGAAGCACATAGCTGGTGATGACACAATCCTTGTTGGCATAGTCACTTAACAGGGAAACTCCCACAGGGAAAGGCTTAAAAGCACTTCAGGAAGGTTGAGACATTTCTCAGGCAGTGACGGTGAGTCAAAAAGGAGAGAGGGAAAGAGAGAGAAGAGTTGGTGATACAACCAGGTCAGGATGAATTCTAGCCATGGCTTCTACCACTTTTCCTCTGGCTCCCTCGGAGGAGCTGCAGGATGCATCTTCCAACCTGTAGGTGATCCCTACAGAACTTCCAGCTTCCATGGAGCAAGCAGCAGCATTCCCACGCCTGTGTCCTTTGTAAGCCCCATCTGGCTGGTCTCTGATGCTGGGACAAGCTGGGGATCCTTCAGTGGGAGCCAGGGAAACCTCTTCATGGGGGGGAACGAAAAGCGGACCATGCAGGACCTGAATGACCGCTTGGCTGCCTACTTGGAAAAAGTACGATCTTTGGAGGAAGCCAACACACAGCTGGAGGGCTGCATCCGGGAGTGGCACCAGAAGAGGTCTCACGGCACCAAGCAGGACTTCAAGGATTACGAGCAAAACATCTTAGACATGCACGAGCTGGTAAGTCAGCAGAGATGCCAACTGTTCTACATTCCTCTCCAGAGGGAATCCAAGGATTGATTCAGCCCAGCTGGCTGCATTAGAAACCTCTGAAATATTGCTGCCAAAAATTATTTTTGCTGAAATTATGCCGATGAAATATCCCATGAAAAAATGTGGATTCAGAGAGTAGCAAAAGGTGAAGGAGAAGGAGCCTTACTATTGTTTTTAAATGCGTAGGCACAGACTGAAATCTATTCATCTAATTACTATTTTTTCCTGGGGACAGAGAGACTTTTAACTTTTCATATAATATTCCACTTGTGGATGTTAGGCTCTGGGGCAGCAAATACGGCATGTTCATATTTAACTTTTTTTTTTTAATGTTTGGTTGTAACACTTAATTTTATACATCCTTCTCTAAAATAATAATGGGAGCAAAGAAAGAAAATTCTGCATTTTAGATTGAACCACTGCATTTCTAGTGCACTCAAAATATTTACTGAATTTCATATTTAACTTTTTTTTTTTAATGTTTGGTTGTAACACTTAATTTTATACATCCTTCTCTAAAATAATAATGGGAGCAAAGAAAGAAAATTCTGCATTTTAGATTGAACCACTGCATTTCTAGTGCACTCAAAATATTTACTGAATTCTAAATGGAAGATAATATTACCATTTTTTCTTGTTTTTCTGTTATTGATGTACAATGTACCTATTTTAAAACATAATCATCAGGTGACCCATTTGTGTCATGGTTTAGAGCATAGCCTCTCTTAGAAAACACTGAGACTAGATTTATGAATTAATTCTTGTTAAAACCAGTTAATGGAGCAGCCACTGACCTTTGGATGTTACACTAGAAGAGGATTTTGTAAAACAAATAAGAGGAATGAGGCATGCAGATTGACCCTGTGCCCCCTTATCCCCAATATACCCTGCAGTGAATGGAGGAAATCTCAGGTGGATTTATTTTCATTCATTTAAATATTCTTCCTTTGTATAATCAGGAACACTGATTAAAGCAAGGTTTCAACTGCATAGAGATTTCTGCTTGTGTTTAGGTCAGGGCTACCTAGGCAAATGTTTTGGCCTCTGAGACTCACATCAGTTAATGGGTCAGACTTTGTAAATATAGACATACATGTATGCCAATACATATATACATGCAAATGTATTTAATTAATTAATTTAAAGTTGTATACATTTTTCCAGCTCACAAAAATGAGACTCCAGGCAGCATACAACCATAAAACAAATTACAATATCCAACAGCAACAAAAAGCCCCATTCATCAAAATAAATCACACAGTTGGGGCACAATCACATAAACTCAACCTCCTAAGATGAGCCCAGCTAATTTCCTGGGCCCAACAGGGGACATCTGGGTCCTCAAAGCCTTCTTGAAGGTGACAGGGTCAGGACTAGTGAAATCTCAGTATGTACTCATCCATTAATCTTTTATCCCCTCCCCTCCTAGCAATCTTAAATAGAGCTACTGGGAGAAAAAGATTGACCATTTCCCAAATTAATGATTTGAAGCAGACTCCCTGAGATGACAGGAAAAGCAGTGAAGCTTCTCCTGGTTCCCAGCGATCCTCCTTGAAAATTGCTTGTTTCCTGCTGTGAGAAGCCAATGCTTCTGAGTAACATGAACCATAAGGCATGGGGAAAAAATAGTTTGTTTCCCACTGGTCAGTCGATTATGCTGATTTGTTGGTTGATTGGTGGCAAAGGCAGGTGAGCTCCATGGCGTTTTATAGCTGAGGGCTTATGGCTCATGAGCCCTGCTTCCTGTCTTTGGCTTATACACAATACAAGTAGAAGCCCACTGCCGATCTCTTCATTCGGTGTAAGGTGTTTGTGAAAGCCGGGGTGGAATAATGCAGCCACATCTGTATTAGCCACATTGAAATACACGTAATGCCTGAATAGAGCTCTTGAGCAAATGACATGTATGATAAATACTACTGAAACATTCCAGGAAAATTAAAAAGCAATCCAGTGGGTGAAATATATTACACTGAAAATGATCTTGCTCATTTCATTATATTAGCAAGCTGTGTTGTTAAACGCTCCTGAGGAAAGCTGATTCTTTAAATTATCTCTGGAAAGTTCATCATTGTTTTACAGGTCTCATCACAAGACTGGTGTAATGATTAGGTAGGGTGAGTTGGCTGTGTCAGGTGCCAGAGGCCAGAGTGAACAGGAAGCGGAGATGATGGTTGGAGGGTAGAACTGTGTGTGTGTGCATCCCTAAACTATCTCTGCATCCCTAAACTAATTAGTGCCTCTGTGGTGAAGTGGAAAATCCTAGTCCATCACTATTGTTGACATGAGATACAACTGCAGTTCTGGTCAGCTTTGGTATATGGAACAGGATGAGGTGCATCTTGTCTTTTACCCAAGGATGTTGCGATGCATGTAAAAAAGAGCAGGGTGTCTATTGTATGATTATGGCCACCTTCTTGATGTTTTTAAACCCCTTCTCTGTAGACATCCCTGCCTTTGCCTCAGCTCATTTATTCCCTTGCACTATTCTTGCCTCATTCTCAATGCAGCACAAACTTACATCTGAAGTAGACTGCTGCATACTTTGAAACTAAATACTCCTCTATTAAAAAAATAATAATCCTTGTTCACTGGAGACTAAATGTCAGTGTGAAATTGCCAGAGCAGTAATCTCTTGAGATGTTCACCTTTCTATATTAGGAATGTTAGAATAGCAAGACACTCCATCCTGTGAGCCCCAACCTAATCTGAACGGTACCCCACTGATAAAAATAAATCACTTCTTCTGTGGTAGGTAACAAGAATCAGAGGATTGTCATTATAGCTTGCCCATATTCATTGACCCTGGGATATCCTTTTTTGTTTTTAGTAGTCGCTTTGTCTCTCTTTGCTTTAGGGCTGGTGTCTCTCTGTGTTTATATACATATGTATAGATGTGTCTGTCCTTCTCAGCACACTGCTGCTTTATAATGTGGGAACAGCTGAAGGAGACATGGCTTAAATGAAGTGTTTAAGATGCAACGTCTTTCATGTAACCTTCAATCCACTCAGCATTAGGGCAAAGGGAAGAAATGAGGTTGGTTTACATTGTAATACCAACCAACATACTTCACACTTCTTGGATCTATATGCAGACTAGAACAAAGCTGTACTTCAAAATCTATGTTTTCTTAAATGTTGAGATTCAGTTCTCCAGCAAATGAGTTAAAATATTTGGAAGAATGTGGTTCAAAAATGTAATGTTAGAGGAGATCGCTTGCAAACATTAAGAAAAGGGTGTGCAAAATGTGTATAATTGGGGAGGGGAAGCACATGAAAATACATACAAATGTTTTTGCACACTTTGGTGAAAACAAACTTTAGCTTATGTGGACATGAACTTTATGCTGAAGAAATGAGAACCTTAGCAAAAATGAAATTTGTCCATTCCTTTGCGGCAGGAGTTTTGAAAAATAGTATTAAAGATTGCCAAGACTGTGACAAAGGAGCATACTGTAAGCTTCCTTTTGGGGGGGGGGGGGGCATTTTAAATGTGCTATATACTTTGTTCTTAATATGTTTTGTTACACAGAAATAGGCAACTTGTAGCAAGGTGGTAGCAAGAAGATTCTTTTTGAAAATGCTTTCAGAGCATCTGTCTGCCGTTCTTAACACAGGAAGATGGAATTCCCAAAATGGATGTTTGTGAATGCAGAGGCCAATAGATTCTAATTATAACAATAATCCTTAAGACACACACAGGCACATGTACATTTCCTGCAAATATTTGACATTCCTATAATTAAAAAGGAGTTCTTGTTCTCACAAAGAATTTGATAGGGAACGTACAAGAATGTTCCCTACACACTCACATATCTCCACGCTCAGGTCTAATAACAAGATGGACTTGTAATAAAACTTTCTTCAGCTAAACAATAGCCTCTATAATTAATTAGACTAATGACTTTTAACTTCACTTTGTTATGTCTGATGAGGAGCTCGTCTTTGCATAAAGTTGCAGTTTAGTTTATGAGGAGTAGTTTGGCAGAATAGAGATCATTTGAAAACCTGAGTTTCAGCAACACTGCTCCCAGGACTAGATAATTCAAACTGCACAGTGATATCCTCTTAGCGTTTTCCTATTTTATGGGATTAAAACAGGGTAGGCAAAGTAGTGCCCATACATACTGAGGCGGTGTGGATCTCTCTCTCTTGCCATCATAATCTCATCATAATTAGATCATCATAATTTCCAAAAATGCCCTGGGTTCCTGGTTGGTCCCATAGGCATTCATAAAATTGAAGCAACGCAGTGCTTTATCTGGAAAAGTACTCCTGTGCTGAGAAAACAGAAAATAAGTCAAGGCTATAGCAAGAAAACTAGAGAGGATGGTAGAAAACAATCTTACAGTGTTCCATCCGATAAATGAAACTTTGTGAATGGCTATGCCCATCATGGCACTCATTTTGTGAGCATGCCCACAATCTCATCTAAACATTTCAGTGTGCTCACTGGTTCAAAAAGGTTGTCTAATGTTGGATTGGAGTGATATGATTCTGATCTCAAGAAAGAAGGCTGGACGTCTTTTCAGCTTACAAGTCTCAACTTGGACAGCTACAGAGTAATTTTCAGGACCCAACAAACAAATCCAGCATAAAGGACCAGCACCAAGAAAAGAAACATTTCCAGCTGTAAATCTCCCTTCCTTGTCATTCCTTGCTTGGTCCTTGTGGCTTTGTTTGCCCTTAAACTCCTCCGGTTTTGACCCATCAACTTGCACTGTTAGATGGAGTTCTCCTCCAGGCCCATGCTAACATTTCATGCGAGATAATAAGCCATACAGTTATAAATGGTGACTATTTTTCTGTAGTGGAAGGAAAGAGAAGAGGACGACCAGCAGCAAGGTGGATGGACTCAGTTACAGTGGCAATGGGTGCACCATTGGAAGACCTGAAAGACCAGCTTAGGGACAGACTGTCATGAAGAAAAACTATCTATGTGGTCACTAAGAGTAAATAATGACTTGATGGAACATACTGAATTAATTATGTAGGTGTGCTTTATTGCTTCTGTACACATCTGCAAACAAAGAAAATGATGCATATGCTTGATGTAGAGGTTTGCTATTCTCAGACATCAGTTTGCCTTCATTCCGGACTTACCACTCTTTCTGTCATGAGCCAGTAAATATATGTTCTCGGCACCCTAACAGTAAAAACTCCTCTTCATTTCCTTGTAGACTTAATCACACTGCTTAAATAGGGTAGACACTTCCTGCAACTCCTGTCTTTCCTTGACTGAATGTCAATATAGACCCTTCCTGTTTGGTCGCCACTGCTGGATTTCCTGGAGGAAATACTTAGAAACAATTCCAGAAAATTAGACACTCACGCCCAAGACTTGACCCGTTTCTTGGCCTGAGGCCTACACTTAGGCTTACATCTGCTGATATGACAGGTGCAAGAAACAATCGCACATCATCTTTTTCAAATATTAGCATGTTTGTGTTTGGCAGGGTTGTAGATAGACTCTGTGAGATGACAATGTACCATCCCTTATTCTCCTGTGTATCTGGGAGGGGAATCTGAATTAATGGATAAACAGCCCATCACAAATACACTAATGGAAGCAAGGAATTTAGTTCATCCAGGACAGAGTTCTGTGAATCAAGATTTCCATTTTAGTGACTCATTTGGGCTTAAAAAGATATTCACCTTTCAATATACTCTTGGAGGGATTTTCAGCTTCCTCTGGCACATCACAGAGGATTTACATAATAGGTGTTTGGCAAGATATTGTCTCAACATCACTCCAAACCACCCATAGTCATAACACCACCCAATTTCCTTTTGGCATGATTCATGCTGAGTTTTGTTTCCATCTGGGTATCTGAAAGAATTTTCCCCAGGCCAAAATGGTTAAAGACCCTGCATTGGCCAGGGGTGGGGGGAAGGCAGGAGGAAAGACTCCTAAAACTCTTGGTTTTGCTTAATTCCACTGCAAATATTCCTTTCTTTCTTTCTTTCTTTCTTTCTTTCTTTCTTTCTTTCTTTCTTTCTTTCTTTCTTTCTTTCTTTCTTTCTTTCTTTTGCTTATGGCAATATGCATGGCATTAGGCTGAGAGGAAGAGATGAATAGACGAGGTGGGCCTTTAATGTAATTTGTATGCCAGTGCAACAAACATAAGAACTTGATATTTAGGTTAAGTAATTTCATCTAGTGTAATTTGCTATATGCCAGGCCTCCAGAAGCCTAAGCAGATTTTTTTAGATGCTCCCTCAAACTGGGATCTAAAAAATATAGATCACTGGTTTTAAGATTACAGTTACTGCCCTTTTCTTGTCCTGTAATATATCAGTTTTGAATGAAAGATTATTAATTGCATTTCTGAATTAATGCTGATCATTAGGGGCTCCTGTATTGTGTCTTCAGTTAACACCTGAGGCCTACGTTGCCTGTCTAGGAAAGTGTCTCTCTTGTTCAGTGAATGTATTTCCAGTAGAGATTCTAGTGGTCTTTTGGGGATGCTTCAGGTCAAGGGTATCTTACACTCCTGCCCATAATTTATATAACTAGAAATTCACAGCTTTTTCCTTGTGTAGAATGATACATAATTATTGAAAGCTTTTGAGAACCACTGTATGGCAGAGGTTGCTAATGCAGGCCCTGTAGGCGTGGCATTAATAGGCATGGCTAATGCAGCCCTGGCATGGCATTTGCTATTCTGCCAGGAAGCATTCATGGGATCCTAAAATTAAATTTAAACATTAAAAAAAGGGTTCTAAAATCTCAGAAGATCATCAAATGTTATGAAATGTTTGTGTCCCATCTGAAATCTTGCAAAATGTTGAGTTTTAAAACTAGTAAATCTCCTGATTTCCTGGTGATCTCCTGAGCTTTTCATCATTTAAAAAATATTTTTCATTTCCATGGTTAGTTTGGCACTCACATTATGGTTACTGGCATTCAGGAACCTTTGCTGTATATAAATTTGAGACAGGATCTGATGCTTTTATCAAAATGTCATGACCCTTTCCCAGTTGCATGCAACATCACAGTGCACCTATAAAAGGGATGGAGCTTGTGTTGTGACAACACAATACTACTTTTCTCATTTGTCCCATCTTGGTACTCTCACACCCTGCAAATGCCTCCCAGTGCTGGGCTTCACCTGCAGTTTCTTATAATTTCTGATAGTCCTGTGGGTTACTGATAGCTTACAGGGTTACGGTTTGACTAAAATTGGAGGGGTATAATTTTCCCTAATTTCTCCTCTCACCAGTAGGCCAAGAACACTCCACCTTTCTATCCTTCACAAAACTCTTCTCAAATCTTATATCAGTTTCCATTTTAATATGAATTTATGAAACGTGTGTTTCTCAAATCAGTACATCAGTTTGAACACATTTGAAATACTATATCCTTATTACAATCACTGTGTCAGGTTTACGATGCTCAGATCCCAATGAAGAAAAATCTTGTGCAACCCAGATTAGGCTCAAAAAAGATTTCATTTATTGGAACAGTACATGTAACACTAAGCAAAGCATTGCTGAAACTAACGCCTGTTTTTTCAGGCTCAAAAAAGATTTCATTTATTGGAACAGTACATGTAACACTAAGCAAAGCATTGCTGAAACTAACGCCTGTTTTTTCAGGCTCAAAAAAGATTTCATTTATTGGAACAGTACATGTAACACTAAGCAAAGCATTGCTGAAACTAACGCCTGTTTTTTCAGGCTCAAAAAAGATTTCATTTATTGGAACAGTACATGTAACACTAAGCAAAGCATTGCTGAAACTAACGCCTGTTTTTTCTCCTCTTTGCTTTTACCCCAAATGCTCACTCCCCTCCTCCTAGCCGCCAGTTCTCTTTCCCGCCGAGGCTCTTTCCCACCAAGGTGCAACCTTGCACATTCTTATCTCCAGATAAAGGTCCATCTTCCTGGCCTTTGAAATCACACCAATTCCTTCTACTTTCCTTCTCCCCCCTCCCTCCTTCTAACAAATGGCAGAAACGAAGCAAGCAACTACTAAACTAATATTCTGATTGCTGAAGGTTCTGACATACTGACTGGCATATGAATGTAGTTATACTTCACTATTTGTACTTTCCTGAATTTTGTGACAAAGTTCTTCAATGGAAAATGTGTAAGTTACTGAAAAGCGTGTATTACCTGCAGGAAATGTAGGGTAACGAATAAAAGTATGTGTTAGAAGAAGTGAGAGCCAGTTTGGTGTAGTGGTTAAGTCACCGGTCTAGAAACCAGGAGACCACGAGTTCTAGTGCCTCACTTTCTCTCAGCCCTAGGAAGGAGGCAATGGCAAACCACTTCTGAAAAGCCTTGCCAAGAAAACTGCAGGGACTTGTCCAGGCAGACTCTGAGAATTGGACATGATTGAACAAATTAAAAAAAGGGGGGGGAGAAGTACTCACAAAAACATGAACACTCTTAATGTATTAATGTTCACCACATTCCAATAACAACAGAACATCAGCAGTTCCTTGCAAGCTTTCTTTCATCTGTTCTTATGGTGGAATATAATATTATGTAATTGTAATTAACATGTTTACTTTGCAATGATAATGAATATTTGACAGCTTGAAGAAGAACATTCATTTCTGAAGCCAACCAAAATCAAAACAAGAGGTGCTGAAAAGTTAACACATTCCAGTTTTCCATTTTGAGTTTCAAATTCTAGGCAAGCTGTTTTTTTTTACTTTGGATTTTGAGATTTCTTATTAAATATACAAATAGAAAAATGACAACATCTTAAATTACATTTTAGCATTAATATGGGTATGTGCAGATAATGCACTTCATCTGATCAATTAAAAACCCAGTGGCTGCATTGGCACAATGCGCAGTTTCGTTAATTTTAGCATTCTTATTTTTTGGCTGTGTTGGGCATATCCAGCTGGTTTGGTTACATTTTGGTTCAGTGTATTTTGCAAAACCAGGGTTTGGGGTAATTCAGTCACTAGATTAACCCATGAGTGCATTCCAGAGGTGAAAAAGAAAGTACAGTTCTCTTAGCCTACCAAAAGACCAAATCATGAGACTTTCATTCTACCTCCACAGTGAGATTAATGTTCTGTTATTTTCAGATTGAGACTGGACGGGTTACCAACGCAGGCCTTGTTCTACAGATTGACAATGCCAAGATGGCCACAGAGGACTTCAGGCTCAAGTAAGTTTTTCCTTGAGCTCCTCATCTATTCTTGGAAACAGATGCAGACAAAGGTGTAAAACTTGACTCTGATTCTTAACAATCCAAGTATTGGTAAAAAGATCAATCTATGTTTCAATATTATGTTTCTGATTGAATTTGATTAAAATCATAATGGACAGTATAAGTTACACCATCTGTTGTTCACTAGGACATTCCAAGAGATAGAAGATTAATGGCCAGCAACTATGCTGCTCTGAAACAAGCACTTGGGTTGGGGGGAACTGCAGTTGCTTTCCTCTCTGCCTCTTACTCACTAGCTAGTGAATTTATCGGTGGAGAATATGGATGTTTTAGGCTGTTGGGCCATCTTTCCTAGATGCCAGGGGAGATGTCAGGAATTATACAGGCAACCCAAACTGCCTGCTTTTCTCATTTCCTCTCCTCTTAAAACAAATTAAGGAGAGCTTGCTTAAGGTGAAACATCATTCTAACCAATGTTGATGGTATTAAGAGGATATATTTGAGAATCATACAATCATAGGCTACGCTTACCCAATATGCTTAGCCAGGTCAATTAAAAACATTGTGGTTGCCATTGCATAGCGTGCCTGGCTAATTTTTTTTTGTTTTGTTTCTGTTTTGTTCTTTTTTTTCTTTTTTTCCTGGCTTGGCCTGATATGCAAGTAAAGCCCTTTTGGTTGGTTTATGATTAAATGCATTATGTGAACCCAGTCATCAAAGTAAGCAGGTTATGCAATATGGTCATAAATTTGGAAGAAATTTTGGAGATATCTAGTCCAATTCCCTGTCCGTGAAAGTTCTCAGATTCAGGATGTTGCTACAACATCTTTGAGAAATGGTCCTCCAGCCCTGCTCTCTAGTTTACAAAAGCCCATAATCTCCTAAGGAATTCTGTTGTGCTGCCAAATACTTGAATAGGATTTCTCTGGATGTTCAGCCAACATTTGATTTCAAGATAAAATCTGTCATTAATTACATGCATTCTTCGAGACCCATATTCTGAGTGAACCTCTTTGTGTGGTCATCATCACCTCTATGGGAAAATGGACCTCAAGCAGCTTCTTTGATGGAGCTATCAAAAAATTTCTCTTAAATTTTCCTTGGGACAATTTCTCAGTGTGCAATCAGTTTAACCTGAGCTACACAATTTATGTAATTCCAGTGCAGTGATTTTGCACTATCTAGTCATATAAGTCTGTGATGACCTGCCCAGATCAAAACTATAGGAAGACAGAATTCTGTCTTATGCCTATGCAGAACATTGGCTCATCTAGTTCAGTACTATGTACACCAAAGTTTTTCTGCCTTGTGTAGTCCAATTGTGTTGTACTTCAGTTCCCATAATTTCCATAATTCCCAATTTATTTGCACGGGAAATAAAACACATTTGGAGGGCACCATGCCATCAAAGGCTAATCTGTTTTGACTGGCAATGTCTTTCAGTATATCCACTTGCTGCAGTGTATAATTTTAATCTGTCTTAAGAAGTGCACTTCATGTTCTATATATACAATGGAAATTTATCATAGCATGACACACAATACTTGTCAGGCTGTTTGGCAGCTACCTAACATTGAAAGTGATTTTTTTCTAAGCACGATTCTCAGAGTTCTCTTTAAAAGATTTGTTGAGATAAATGGAGGTGGGGTTACAAGGATTCTAGTAACTGAACTATTTTCAGTTTAGAATCAATATACTGTACCTTCAGGTACCTCCACCTCATGTGGAGACTTTCTGATTTTCTTTCTATCAGCCTTCCTATGATCTGGGGAGGAAGCTGGTATCTTCACTGATAACAGAGAAACTATTTATATAATGGTCTCCTGTATCATTATTAGTCTGGAAAGCAACTCTTATAATACTTTCGAAATCATGATTCCCCAAATGTCCAAAATAAATGTGTAATACAGCCAACACTCTCCCCTTATTTCTTCACCAATTTCCCATTAAATTTGCATTTCAAATTAGTTACAGAAGCAATCTTTTGGGGCTGTTGTGTGCTGAAAAACAGCAGAGCTTTCAAAGCTGATTAGCAAGCTTCTCCACAAATGGGCTGGCTTTCACTGAATCTCAACATATTCGTAGAATATGGAAGATTGGGCTGAGTTGTGATGCTTCCAGGACATAAAATGGAGCACAGAAGTACTAGCAAGCAATAGTTCTAGAAGTTGTAGGTTCAAGCCCAAGATGGGGTTGTTGTCTCCCTCATTCAACCATATCACTTTTCTCTTTGGTTAAGATATGAGGCTGAAAAAGCCCTACGGCAAAGTGTGCAAAGTGATGTTGAAAACATACGTAAGGAGCTGGACAACATGACCATCATAATAACTGACCTGGAAATGGAAATTGAAGCTCTGCGAGAAGATCACATACTTAAAAAAAAAGAACATGAGGCGGTAAGAGAAGCTTCTTCCCTTTCCTCCAGTCACCTACATACTTTACCAAAATCCTCATCAGCTCATGATCTGTACAGAAACCCAATATGATAGATCATGCTTATTTTAACAAAAAGCTACAATAATAAATGTTGAATGAATCTAGTGAAGTGTGTCAGAGGATGCTAATATAAGCTGTTTTGAGGTGAGGACTGAAGCTTCTGAATCAATATAGTTTCTGTTTGTGAATTTTGCCCATCAAGTCCAAAAAACATCACTGCAGTTTTGAGACTTCTTAAGCTGATCTAAATATATATAGGTTGCCAATGAAATAAAGTGTTTACTTAAAATGGCAAGGATTAAAACTACTTAGTTTTGTAACTCTAACCACATCTGAGCAGACAAATGCTTAATATATTTAAATCCTGCCAATTAAAACCTGACACTCTGAATTTTCACTCTGCTTGTATAAGCCAGCACAGCATTCCTTTAGTCTGTGTAGGCTAAAAGTCTTGATGAATCACACCAAAGGCCCATCTCATTCAATCTTCTCTTCCCCACACTAGCCAAACAGGCATGAATCCAATAGTGCTCTTCTGTTTAGGTTCCTCAGCAACTATCTCTGATATCATAAATAATCTGGACTCATTAAAACTTTGTCTAAACTCCTTTTAAAATTAGACCTGTTATCAGCAATCATGAGATATTGTTACAGAGAATTCCATAGCACAACCATGTACTATGAGAATTACTTCCTTTTGTTGGTCTACAATCTTCCATGGATCAGATTCACAGGATATTTGTTGACAGAAAAATGTTTAAAAATGTGAGGAGCAAAAAAACTTATCCCTATCCATTTTCGTTAAACCACACAGAATTTGGAAGTTAGGAGGGTGTAGCTTTACACATACTTATTGTTGTTACCATATTACTGTATTTAATTTCCTTTTAACTTACAAACAATGACCAACTTAAGCTGGGCTCACATATATACACAGTGCAGTTGGCTCTTTCATTCTCAAGAGATCATTGCTGCATATTTCAAAAATGTACTTTAGCTAACTCATACTACTAGGAAGCTCTCATCTAAATGACAGAATTTTAACATTAATATTAATGTCCCTTTAATAGTGGGAGGAACCATTTCTTTCAAATGCAACAGTATCTGATATAAACAACCACAGATGAAATACATCAGTTGCCCTGTTGCAACTCTAATGCTAGATCCCATAGCTAAATTTCAAAGGAAGCACCAGTTATATACATGTAAATCATAAAAGCAATATGAGATAGTGTTGCATCAGCTGATGCTATTTGGTGCTTCAAAAATAACTTTAGAAAGACGTATTGCAGTTGCTTCCTCTCGCCAAGCCATTAATACAGTGCCTCTAAGTTTGGGGGCACTCTGAAAACTGACTGATTACAGCATCATTTCCTGAGTAGTAGGCAAAGCATAGGAAGATACTGCAATGACGAGAACTTCACCAAACCAGTTTGGCTTGCCTCATAATTAGGCTGTTTACATAGTAATTAGGTGTTTTCATCCAGCTGCTCCTTTGGGAATTATATAGAACCTTTACATCTTCTTCATGGAAACATAGCCTTTTGTAAGATGGGTGATTGAAATGAAAGTAACACTTTTGGGGTTGAGAAGAGGAAGTCTTCCTTCCTCCAAAAAAAGAAGGTTCGAATGAGATTTCAGTAAGAATTCAGGACTTCCAAAGCATGACTTAACTATGCATCAAGCAATTAACATAGCATCCTTCTGGGCCAACCCTAGTATTCTTTCACAAACAGAAATATATCCAGCAGAAAGTAGTGCACTCTCACATCCTACACTCTCTCTGTTTCAGACCTTCCCATCCAACTGCCTTCCTTGTACAAGCTCTGGCACAATGGCTCGGCATGTAATTGGTATGTGCGTCATCCTCACCCTCACAAGCATCTCCAGTTAATGTCTTTTTTGTGTGCCAAATCACATACCTTCATGTCATCCCTTCGCTTCAGTTTTGTGACTGACATTTTTGAAACCTCACCCTTGAAAACAAACAGCCTGACTCAGATCCAAATTTAGCTGTGCGTGGAATAGACCCACTGAAATCAACAGGACAGCTAAGTTATCCCTAATTTAGGCCTGATTAATTTCAATAGTCTCCTCTAAGGATGACTAACTGGGGAATTCTAGGAGTTGAAGGGCGCACATCTTAAAGCTGCTGAGACTGAGACACACTGCTCTAAGAGATATATGAACCAGGCTTCATTTAGACCCATACTTGAACTAGAAGGCTTGCTTACAAAGTGTCAAGGACTTAGCTCATTAAGGTCTTCATTGCAGATACTAGAAAAGCCTTTAATAACAAAGAAAACCAGACTCTAGGGCTCAAGCTACCATATACTGTATATAGCAGTTCCAAGCTTTAGAACCTACCTCTCTTTCTCCTGCCTTTACATCGTAACATGGTACATGCTTCTCAGATTGAGATGTGGCTGGCATGTGGGCATTTACGGTAATGGACCAGTCTGATCTCAGGCCTATTGTTTCTGAGCTTCTGGCGTTGGTCTTCTCCACATCAGTTTTAAGGCAGTTCTTTTTACTCTCTCCTTTTTTAAGACAATATTGCAGTCTGTCCTTAAAAAAAATAAATCTTCATCCGTTTACCCATTCACAACCTTCTCTAATAAATGGAATGTTTACAGGCAAGTTCCCTTAATGCAGTGTTGTCCAAACTTGGCCACTTTAAGATGAGTGGACTTCAACTCCCAGAATTCCACAGCCAGCCATGCTGGCTA